CTCGTCTTCCCCTAAGCTCACAGGAATGCCTGTCTTTTCACTGGCTGTCGCTCTCGCTTCTCCCCCGTCGTGGTATGACCACAGTGGTGTCTGGTGTAGGGTTGCGAAATTACCGGTAACAATCAATGTTACCGTAAATTACGGTAAAATTGGTAATTTACCGGAAATTATGGAAAAATTTGAAAAATTCAATTTCTAGTAGAAAAATTGGCAATGTACTATTTATTGGCGATCGAAATTAGTGTGTACTGCTTAAAAAGTGGCGGAACAGCCGGTATTAGTATAGCTGGTTGAATATTTGTGCTTTTTTATCTTGTTTTCATAAACATCAGTTGTATATAGAGTTACCAAAGGTACACCTATAAAAATCGCTATCTAAAGATATGCCTTTCAAACTTTAGAATAATGACACATTTGTTATCAGGTCTCTAGAAAGTGACTTAAAAGGTAATAATATGTCATATTTACTATTCCAAATGTGGTTTTTGCTTCTGGAAAGTGAGTCTTTGACTCATTTTAAAGTGTTATCATTACCGTTTTTTTCCACGTTACCGAGCATTTGGTAAATTACCGTAAATTACCAATTTTTCCGGTAACGTTACCGGTAACATTACCGGCCGTCGCAACCCTAGTGGAGGGGGGGGGGCAGCAGAGCCGTGCGCTGGTTCTCGCTCCTCTGGATATTTCTTTCCAACCCGCTGCAGCCTTGCCGTGTTCGCTTACTGCTCGGTCTCGTGGTCTCGTAGGCCCAGACTTGCCGGAAGAGGGTGCGGTATGCAATGCAGCTTCGCAGTTGTGCGGCAGCCCAATGTCGTTGTTGCAAAGCAATTAAAAGACAAGCAGGGCGTGAAAATTGGCGACGGCATCATTTTGTAACGCCTCTTCTTTTTTTGTTTTGTTTGCAGTTTAAAGGCGCATCATCCGTCACGTCAGCGCCATGCAGTGTGAGGTGTGCTCCACAAAGTGCGCCTCAGCGGGGGCTTTACGAAAGCACATGAAGACGCACTCTAAAGAGGCATTCGAATGCACCGTGTGCAACAAGAAGTTCCCAAGGGCACTAGCTTTGGAGATGCATTTGCACATTCACACAGGAGAGAGACCATTCGAGTGCACCGTGTGCCACAAAAAGTTCAGCCAATCCGTACACCTGCCAATTCACATGCTCATACACACAGGACACAAGCCGTTCGAATGCAAGGTGTGCCAAAAGAAGTTCAGACAATCCTCCACTTTTCAGACACATCTGCGAACCCACACTGGTGAGAGGCCATTTGCGTGCAATGTGTGCCTCAAGAAATTCACAACTACTAGTGCCTTACGACGTCACTTGAAAATTCACACGGGAGAGAAGCCATACGAGTGCACGATTTGCCATATGAAGTATTGTCGTGCCGGTGGGCTTAGGTTACATCTGAGAACCCATACCGGGGAAAGGCCATTTAAGTGCACTGTCTGTGACAAAGCTTTTAAGAAGTCTGATTGGTTGCGAATCCACATGCGGATGCACACAGGAGAAAAGCCCTATGAGTGCACCTTGTGTCAGAAAACGTTCGCACAGAGGGGCGCCTTGACCACTCACATGCGCACTCATACGGGAGAGAAACCATTCGAGTGCATCGTGTGCCACGCAGTATTCGCACGATCGGGCGCATTGAAATCTCATTTGCGAACTCACACTGGAGAGAAACCATTTGAATGCAGTGTATGCCACAAGATGTTGGGGAGCTCAAAATCTTTAAAATATCACTCGCGAACCCACACTGGAGAGAAACCATACGAATGCAGTGTGTGCCACAAGATGTTTGCAGGCACAAACGGTTTAAAATCTCACTTGCGAACCCACACTGGAGAGAAGCCGTATGAGTGCGCCGTGTGCTTAAAAAGTTTCAGGGTAAGTAGCACCCTGAAGAACCATCTACGCACCCATACCGCAGAGAAACCATTCGAGTGCAGCGTGTGCCACGCAGTGTTCGCACAATCGAGCGCGTTGAAATCTCATTTGCGAACTCACACTGGAGACAAAACATTTGAATGCAGTGTGTGCCACAAGATGTTTGCTAGTTCAAGCGGTTTAAAATCCCACTGGCGAACCCACACCGAAGCCAAGCCTTATGAGTGCACCGTGTGCTTAAAAACTTTCAGGCATGGTAGCGGCCTTACCACTCACATGCGCACCCACACGGAAGAGAAACCATTCGAGTGCAGCGTGTGCCACGCAGTGTTCGCACAATCGAGCGCGTTGAAATCTCATTTGCGAACTCACACTGGAGAAAAACCATTCAAGTGCAGTGTATGCCACGCTATGTTCTCACAGCCGAGCGCGTTGAAATCTCATTTGCAAACTCACACCGGAGAAAAACCATTCAAGTGCAGTGTATGCTACAAGATGTTCGCGGGATCATCCGCATTGAAAAGGCATCTGCAGGCCCATATGGGAGTGAAGCCATACGATTGTCTTGTGTGTCACCAAAAATTTGCTGATCCAAGGAGGCTTCGAAACCACCTACGAACCCACACAGATGACAAACCACTGTAGTGATGGATCTGTGGTGAGTTTTGCACGAGGGGTAAATAACTTGGTGATAGTGTCGTACACTTTCCCTGAAAATGGGTCGGACTTTCGTGTCTCCCAAATCTCTCACAGTCAGTAATCATCTGTCAGGATTAGTCAGGATTATGTGCCCCGCAGGGATGTTTTAGTGCGGCCAACTGTGCATTCATTATGCAATATTTAAAAAAAAATGAACGTTCTATTTTACATGGAAAGGTATGTTGGATCATCTTTCGTGTCGTGCCTTTTAATCAGTTTGTTTGACGAAGTATTTGTCACATTAACTAAAGAGTCAATCATCTTTTTAATCGAGGGGTGTGGAACTAGCCTGAAAAGTGTACACATGATTGTGTCTAGACAATGATTGTTTCAGATTGTGTATGATCGTGTCAAACATTGCCTCTGATTGTTTCAGATTGTTGGTAAAATTTGGAGACATATTTGGAAAAATTGTCATGATTGTTTACGATTGAGTGTGATTGTTTCAGGTAGTGTGTGATTGTTTCAGATTGTGTGTGGTTGTCTCTGTTTCAGTAGGATAAAAATCACACCCCTCGTTTTAATCATTTTATCGAAGTAGATAAGGATATTTGTCTTGTTAACTACTGATTTGTTTATCTTCTATATTTTTACAATTTCTATCGTTTTTCGTTATTGCCTGATAAATGTACGCTCAATGTCTTAAAATATTTTGTATGTAAGTAAAGTAAAAATAAAACGAGATTTTCATTTTAAACAGGTTCAAGGAAACATTCTACAATATAAAATTTGTAGCAACTGGCTGTTCCAGAATAAATGCAATAAGTTAGTCATTCAAAAAAAAAATCAAGTGTGTTGCAATTTTTCAAATATGAAGTTTCACGAGAGGATCCCTTGCATAGCCATACCCTTTCACACAAAACAAAGATTCAAAGTATTACAAAAATACTACACTCTGAGAAATTCTTGAAGGTTACAGGAAAATTTTTCAGGATATGTGTTGTTAAATGACAAGCACTATGTATCGATTGTGCCCTGTTTTGTATTTGACAATTTGCTAACCACTCCTCCTAACCTGCTGGGTGTCTCCCGTGAGCAGTCGCTCTCAGGTGTGCGATGGTGCAGTGGAGACAGCTGGGGTGGGGTGGAGCAGAGAAGCCTGACCCCCCCCCCCTTTTGCTCGGCTCTCGCTAATCGATTTACGAGCTTTTTGTCATCTAAGGTTTCATTTGGTCGTCCCTTTTCTCTCCCTGCTCCTCCCTCTTGCTTTGGCTCGAGTCTGGCGCGGCCTTTGAGACGTACGGTACGTCGGGCCGGGCCGGCCGGGTTGGGGTTGGACGGCACAAGGCACAAAGCCTGGGCGGGCCGGGCATGCGCTTTGTCCCGTGCCTCGGGCGGGGTGCTTGACGCGCTCCTCCAGCTTCGGGGGCGCTCCGTGGGGCTCCGTCGGGGTGCTCGAGGTCCAGGCGGCGGCCCTGCCGGAAGGGGGCGCGGCTGCCCCCCGCTTTACATGGCCGTAAACGCCGTCGTAAAAGGGACAGTTCGGCGGGCCGTATCTGCTGCTGCTGCTTGAGCTGTTAGTTTTATTTTTCCCTTTCTCCTTTATTTTCTGCCGGCTCATCTTTATCGCTGTCTGATCCCCTGCGCGCCAAAGTGCGTGCGCTTTACGCACAGACGATAGACCCCCCCCCCTCCCCCCGCTCCCTCGGGCCTTTGATTCACGGACCTTGCCTTTGGCCCACACTTCTCCAGCGGACTGGCTGGCTGACTTGGCCGGCTTGCTTGCGCGGGCGGGCGGTGGATACCTTTGAAAAATGGACGACCGTTTGCGCTCGCTCGCTCACCCTCGACATCGTTCGACTCTCCCGTCTCGCTCGCTCCCTTCGTCTTACCCGTGCCTCTGTCCCACTCTTTCTCTAGATCCTATATACGCTAGCTTGCCGTGCCCCTGTGAGGACAGTTTGGAGGGACGCCGCGCCCTGCCCGGCGGGGAGATCGGACGGACGCTGCCGCCACGCCACGCCACGCCCCGCCCCGCCATGCCACGCCCCGCCACGCCCCGCCGCCCTACGGTTATATATCGTCCGCTGACAGTCGCAAGGGCCACGCTGCTCTGCGACCATGCGTCTCCTCACGCCCCCTGGATAGACTGGAGCGAAGCTGGAGGAGCCGAGGGGGACGACGACGACGACGTGGGACGAACGCAATGCGCGCGGCAGAACACGCAGGGTTGAAATATTCGCACAGGGAAGAAAGAAGAAAACAACGAAAAGGGCGGAAAGGTCGCGTGGAACACCCATATACCGCCACCGTCCGTGCCGCACCCTCCGTTGACCTCTCGGGTGGATCGAGAGGGAGGTCGACGACTCGGTGCGCGTCCAATTATAGAGCCTCCTATAGCAGCAACAGCGGCCGGACCGCGGCCGACCGGACGTCCTAACGGAGTCATTATCGAGATTTTCCGGTTCCGATCGGCGGCGCGGAGCCGAGAGGGGAAAAGGGAAGAAAGAAGCCACTTTAGTACTGCGGCGCCGCCTATGAGTCTCACAAAGTGACCGGGGCTATTAATCCATTTCCCCCAATCAAGTAGTGTCTCGCTGCCCCGCAGGCGGCTGTGCTTCTGCAGCGGCGGCGGCGACGCCTGTGGTCTGGACGAGGTGTCTCGCTCAATGAACTATTTGGCGCAGTGGCACAGTGGGCTGCATCGTGGAAAAAGGAGGAGGGGTAGGGGGAAGGACACCACAACCGGTCCGTCTGGAGGAGGACCAGCAGTGGCGGGAGGGGAAGGGAGGGATGCGTGTGTACAGGTAGATAGATGGATGCACCGCCTCCCGGATGTCTGCTGGACCGCAGTGTGTGTGTGTGTGTGTGTTTGTGCGCATCAACATTCTCTGGCTATTACCGTGTATGGTGGGGCGTGGCGCTGCGCGGTGAGAGTCGCACAGCAGGTGCGTGGCGCAGTGGGTCACGTGATAAGTGGCGTAGCAACCGGGATTCATCAGAGAGAGAGAGAGAGAGATCATTGCCTTTGCCGTTGAATCGCGACGTAAAACGAGACGCGGCAAAACACTGTTCAGTTGCAGTTCGACACTTGAAACCTATACACACGGAGTTCGTGGCGGCTCCGTATAAACACGCAGTTCCCGGGGGCTCGGTACAAACACGGAGTTCAGCAGGCCGCCGTATAGCGTCGTAACTATGTTTTTCGAAAATTTCGAGTTATGAAGTGCGTCGGATAGAGGAAACCAAGGGCCATCGATCAGCGAAAACCGCATTTCGATATGTCAATTAGTTCAAAAGTTATTCTGGTCTAAATATCCAGCCGCCCATAAGGCGCAATGTAAATCCAAAACTTTGAAGCGCTATATCTCAGAAGTGACTTTCAAACACTTACGACGTTGTACGGGGACCCGCTGAACTGCGTGTCTGTACGGAGCTGCCTGGAACTACGGGTTTATACGGAGACTCCACGAACTCCGTGTTTGTAGGTTTCAAGTGTCGAGTTGACCCCCTGGCTACGCCGCTGCTTGCCGCGCGCGCGCTCGCGTGTCTGTGTGTGTGTCTACAACACTGTCGTTCTCCTCGCCGCCGTTTGGACCTACCCGCTTAGCATCCAAACAAATGTTTCTGGCACATTCGGAAACTTTCTCTTATAACTAATCTTAACTTTAGTTTTAACAACTGGGCGATTGTTTTTAGTTATGGGATGGGCTGCTGGGTAGAAGAGAACTAAACACACACGCGCGCGCAAACTTAAGCGCAAAAACACACGCAAGCTTTGCAACTCATGCGAAAACTCATGCGTAAAGTGATAAGCGCGGCTGCTGATAGCAAAACGCGTGTTTACACTGGGTGCAGCAGCACCGGCGGCGCTCCTCGCTCGCGTGCCCCAGGCGGGCACCGTGGCGCCGTGCCGACCCTGACACACCTACTTACCCGCTGCTGCTGCTGTTGCTGTTGCTGTTGCTGGAGGTGGTTGTGGCGGTGGCGGTGTTCCTGCTCCTGCCCTGTGGATTAAGGCTCCTCGCCTCATGAAACTTGCAGTGGCAGAAGTGTTCCGCTCGGGCGACTCCTATTGTCTCGTGTGTTGGCGTTTAGTGCGGATTGCGCTGCTGCCGTTGCGGACTGACTCACCCTTCTCTGCTGCGCACACTTGCAGAGACTGTGTGTGGTGGTGTGCACTCTCGTTTAATACGTGCGGGCACTCTAAAAGAGCACACCACACTCTACTAATGAAAGTGAAGCAATTGTGTGCGCAAGCTGAGCCAACCCTTCTTTGTGATGAAACGTAAGATGCACTCTCTGGCGGCCCCGCTTGGTGGTACCACGACGACGCCATGATGCGCAGCGAGACATACCAAAGAAGACTTATGGTTTCTGCTAGCTTTTCTTTTGCTTGATTCGTCCGATAGAAGGAAAGGCGAAGAGGATGTTACGAGAACTGGAAAGGCAAGGAGAGATATGAGGGATCGCTTGTTGGTCGTATTGCCCTCCGGTGTGCTCTGCTCAGCCCTCCTCCTCTGCTCATGTCTCTCAAGCGTTTGTTTTGTGGCTTCCACTTTCCTTTCATTTTTTTCCCCCGATCATGATATGATGGGCTTCGTGTAATAGTAGTCGTTCGACCGATTCCGATTATTTTATTATTTTTTTCCTCCCTAATCCTAATTAACCCGAGCGAATCTCGTATCCCCATCATTCGGCTTTTGCTGCAGCGGCCATCAGATGTCGGCCATGAGTTATCCAGAGAGAGAGAGAGAGAGCGAGAGAGAGAGAGAGAGCGAGAGAGAGAGCGAGCGAGAGAGATGTGCTGGTCGCCGAGATAATCATCAGATGTTTAACAAGTGCCACGCCTGCTTTGAAGAACTGGGAGAGGATTAAACTCTTTCCTTGAATCCCTCTGGAGGGAGAGGAATATAGGAAGACACGAAAGGGAGCAGAAACAAAAAGTAGGGAGTAAGACATGGAGTAGAAGCGGTGGAGAAGGAAGGGGGAGGGGAGAGCCGTGATTGCAGAGCATAACCTCCGAGTGCAGCTGGGCCGCAGTGCGACCTGTGACCCATCCTGGGGGCTGGCCACGCAATATGAGACGTGTGAACTGACCGACGGGACCTCGTTGTCGGGTCCTGCGGCCTTGCACATTCTCGCGCTGCCGCTCGTTCTTTTTTTCTTTCTTTTCTTTTCACTGTTTAGTTTTCTTGTTCTTCTGGTTTATTATGATGACAATATATATAAGAACAGAACAGGCCAGTCGTTGCTCCCGGTGCTCAGTTTTTTTTCTGCCCCTCTCCTAGCGGGAGGTTCTGTCCATTGCCCCCTTGCTTTCCGTCCGTCCGCAATAACACGATATCGGACACGCTGCATTTAGGCCCCTGCGATTCGCTACACCTGGAGGGGGGAAGAGACCATTCCACCCAACGCGCGCAGTACCGATATTGATATCTCCTCGGCCATCTTTTTTTAGTGTGCGCGTCTTTGAAGATAGGACCTGCTGCCCTCAGCACAGTCTGCCTGTGGTGGTGATGGTGGAACCTACCGGCCGCAAAGATTCCTCGGAGGATGATGCTCTGGAAACTGATTTGTGCATTTGGGTGGAGCGGAAATACTGCTGATAGAGCATACCACTGAAAGGGCGTAACCAGTACTCCTGTAGACTCTACAAAATGTGTGACAGTTAAGAATTCATTTGATCTGTGGCATCTAAATGAAGAGACCGAAATATCTTTGAAAAAATGTATAATGGCCTTTGTCGCTTTATATTGTAAGTTTGATCAAGTGTTGTTGTTTTTGTTTCTGTTTTCAAACCTAATC